TTAGGGATGCTCACACTGTAATGTACTTTCTCATCCCTAATTATGTGCTCAATTATTCTCAATTATCTTCTGCTTACTATTTAAAAAATTTGAATTAAAGAATCCCTCCAAGAATGTCATTACAGATAGATATGGGACTGAGAAAACACCAATTTGAGCTAAATATTTATGTCAGATCAAAAATAACCTTCATGGGCTGGGGTTGTGGCTCAGTGGTAGCATGTTTACCTAACATGCGTGGGGCACTGGGTTTGATCCTCAGGACCTCATTAAAAAATAAAAAATAAAGGTATTGCATCCATCTACAACAACAACAAAAATATTTTTTTAAAATAACCTTCACAATGTTACCTTAACAAAGTTTAAGTGTACTATGTATTTGGGTGCTTTTCTTTTAACTCATATTTTAAAATGACATTGAAGCAATAAACATGATTTGTCCTCCCAACCACACTATGAATCAGCCTCCTAGTGGTTAAGCAGTCCTGGGTTCAATACCCAGTACCAAATAAATAAATAAGCAAAAGGAAGGTCAGTAGAATAGAGGAAGGAGAATGGGGAAGGGAGGAAGAAAGGGAAAGGCAGGAGGTACTAGGAATGAAATGGAGTAATTCAAATTTTATACATGAAAGATTTTGTCAAAATGAACCCAACTACTATGTATAAAACTATAATAATTCAAAGAAAGAGAGAGAGAGAGCATTGAGTGTTCAGCATTATGAATTTTCATGAATGAAACTACAATGTAACTAGCCTCTAGATCACACACACACACACACCCTCCCACACACACACACACACACACACACACACATATCATCCAAATCCCAGGAACTCTACCTACTGCCTTCAAGGTTACAGGCCAGGTGTAAGCTTTCTCCTCACTTACAGCAATGTATAGTACCTATACTACATATGTCCTCTTTTGTGTTCAGTTGCATTCACTCAACACTGTTTTCCAGATTCATTCATCTTATTATTGGTAAATGTGATTTTCTCATTGTTAACTATGGTACTATTACATTGAGTGATCACATTTAGTTATACTTTATTATACATTTGAGCATTGAAATCATGTCCAGATTTGTAGATGTAGAGAATAGTGCTGCTATGTGTATTCCTATACAAAACTTTGTGCACAGAAATTATTCAAATCAATATTGAATAGTGGTAGGAATTGGTATCCTTATTTTCAATAATTGATCACTAAATATATGTTTTCTGTTCTGTGTAAGTTACATGTAGAAATTCCTTTTCAGGTTAAGAAAGTACCCTTGTATTTATGATATGTTAAAGCTTTCTCTGTTTTGTTTTGGTTTTGGTTGGTATATTAGACAATACATTTGAAGAAGCATAAAAAAAAAATAAAATAAACATGATTTGTGGAGAACAGAAATTCGGGACACATATCTGATTTTTCAGTCAATAACTAAAGGAAAGCCTACTTTGGTTAAGAAAAAAATATTTGATGAACAATAAATCCTTAAAACTAATGATAAAAGTTATAAAATCACAGAAAAATAATGCAGAAAAGCAGAGTGATAATATCAAGTGCAACTTGAAAATGTATTTCCAGCTCTTGAAATGTTTCCTAGAAACAATATAACAACAATAAGAACAAAAGACAAACAAATTTAAAGATGATATTAATAAATTATAATATAGCCAGATATATTTTAAGTACTAATAGAGAAACAATTGAAATACATTTATTCCCAATCAACTTTGTAAAATAGTGTAAATATTACATGAGAAGATAGCAATCATAGGGTGCAATCAGAAAGCAATTTCATTCTTATTTCCCACTGTTTTTTTAAACCTGCTCTGTGGAGGGCCTCCAACGTAGCTCAGTGGGAACTTCGTTAGCAGCACTTCCTAGTATCCACAGGCCCCAAGTTCAATCTCTAGTGCGATAGATAGATAGATAGATAGATAGATAGATAGATAGATAGATAGATAGATAGATAGATATTCTCTATGGAGATACTTCTTCCCATGACCACTGATGAAAACTTGGTCAGCCCTTTTATTTTTCTGATCCCTTTTACATAATAGAAATCAGGTGCATTCCAAGTAACCGTAGCACAGTGTCAGGTTTAAAATGTTCAGAGTCATTTAATGGTTTTACTTTATTCTAAATTTTAAATAATGTTTCACCACCCCTAAATCTGGACCACTACTGAGAGGAAGCCTGCAGTTGGAGGAGGAGATGTAGCAGGTATGATTCTGTTTCCTCTGTTGGATCTATGTTCCCCTGCTAGCCATGGTTCCTGACCCCTCCGAGGTTGGACCGTGGGGAGAGAAAAAGAAAAGGAAGCAGGCAAGTTCTTCCTTGACTGGTATTGCTCTAGGACCTGACTGGTCACATTTGCACTTGACAGGTATTTAAAACTGACTTTCTCTCTCTTGAATACTTTTGTGGGTTTTTTCAGAAACCCTTTCCCTTGATTACTAGAAATTGCTTACTTACAGTTCTTTTTCCTTGAGCAAACGATTCTCTGGACCAGCTGGCTGCTCTAGCTTGTCCCAGAAAATGGACTTCCAGTGACACTCCTCTGGTCCTTCCGTAGAAAAGACTTTGCCCCTCCAAATGGACCTCTTTGGAAGCAATTAAGGCAATCCTACTCTGGCTTTTCTTCCTGAGCAGCCCACATCTGTATCCTTTGCTCCTGCAGACTAGACAGCAGGATTAATCAGGGAAGAAGCAAACTCTCCTGTGGTCCACTCTCACAGAAGCAGTCAGCTGCTCAGCTTTGGATTCTTCAAGCTGGAGTCAAACATCAGTTCTCTCCATCTACCCAACTGCCAGGACCTCATATTAAACTCTCTAAATTGTCCCCTTCAAGTCCATTTCTCCTGGGCTTTAGGTAAGAGATGGGCACCCACAGTACTCACCTATAGCTGAGAGAGGAATCATAACATATAGAAAGATGATCCTCAAATCCTCCATTCTAAAATCTGACTCTGTTCTAAACTTCACATGGGTAAGAAGAGCAATGAAATCAAGTTTTTCCCATATTTTTTTTAAAATTCTGCAACCTTGTTTCCACCTCCACTATGGAGATAT